AGAGAGAGAGACAGAGAGAGAGACAGAGAGAGAGACAGAGAGAGAGACAGAGAGAGAGACAGAGAGAGAGAGAGAGAGAGAGAGAGCCTTCCTTACTTCTGCTACTCCACCTTCTGGTCACCTCTGCACCTGAAGCCTTGCCCAAAGGGGTGTGGCCAGTAACACCAATTCACTGACAAGGCCAGATGCCACTACAGAAATCTATAGTTCAGGAAAGCACACAGATAGAAAAGGGTTTTATAACTGTTGCTCTGAGAAGTATTGACCCAGGCTGATCAATGTATGCTGTTACATTTCCAGGCATAGTGGTCGCCATCATCATCTTTGCTGACAATTGTTGTCTTACCCTGTGTTTTAGAAACTTTCACATGGATCTTTTCAGTGGATTCTGAAGAATTCATTTGAATAGGGTTCCATTTGAAGACAGTGTCATTCAAATGTTACACTATAATCTATTCAATGAGACAAGACAAAGGAAGTGGGAAGGAGACTTTCATTAAGGATCCTAATTTGAAATTTGTTTCACTTTGGTTGTAGATCTTTATTTTATTGATCTTGGATCAGTAAGCCACAGAGCCTCTCCAATTGGTCTGATTGGAATCTGAATGAGCTGTGGGAATCCCATCGTCTACATTGTGTTGATGATGTCAGCTTTGACTATACGCAAATGCCTAGTGTTTATCACACCATGTGTGAGCATCCTGTAAACAGGCTTCTTCCCTTGATACTTTTTTTTTACAAAAGCATAGTGGCTGAGCTGGGACTTAAAATGGGGTCTTAGGCAACCATGAGAGAAAATCTGGAATTCCCTGCTGGCAGTAAAGCTGGGTATCTGTGGTTGCATACCCACCCTAACCAGTAATACCAAGGCTGTGACAAGTGACCTACCCCAGGAGTTAGCTGGTGACTTAAATGAAGACAAGCACACTTGATATAAACCTAAGTGTAGATATAAGGAGGGTATGAGAAAGCTCCAGGCCTTATGCCCATCCATCCTCATCCATCCAAGTGCATTTCAAGACCACCAGCAAAGGAAGTTGCTCTCTGAAACCTTTGTATTAAAAGGTAGATGATCATCTGGGTGGTGGCATAACATGCCTTTAATTCCAACACTCAGGAGGCAGAGGCAGTAGGATGTCTGTGAGTTCCAGGCCAGCCTGGTCTACAAAGCAAGCTCCAGGAAAGATAGGGCTACACAGAGAAACCCTATCTCAAAAAAAAATTTTAAAAAGGTTGGCAGTCATTGTTCTGTCCCCTTTCCCAACCTAAAGAGTATTCTCAACTGATTGTCCACCTCCTGTGTGAAGCCTTCCACAACCACCCAAGCCAAATTAATTTTCATCTTCCCCAAACACCCCTAGAGCACAGAGTCACCGTGGCTGTCATCAGTTTGTAGTCCATATCTCCCTTCCCCGCTTCAATTAGCCTCAAAGTATCCAAACACCAGAAAGAGCTGGAAAACTTCCCCTACTGCCAGATTTTCCCCTGCTAATAGTATTCAAATTCAGGTTCAAGAAGGTGTATTCATCTGTTTTAAAACATTCACAAAGACACTGAAAAAGAACATTATGTTCTTAAAGGACTCAACACAGTCAGCCAAGAGGTCTTCTAGCTGGGAATAGTTGCACTTGCTTACTTGCTTCACTCAGCTAGTTAAAAAAAATATAGACTCTGATAACTTGAGAAAAAGCCCTAGCAGTCCAATGACCGAATTCCTGTGCTGTAGTTGACATACTGAAAGCAAAAAGGTTCCAGTGAGTTTCCAGCAGCAGTGATATACTGATCCATTGCTTGTTGGGCACGTGACCTAGCATACAGGATTGAATGGAAAACTGGTTGGTAGTGGGGTGGTTTCCCTGGCACATGAACATTACGGGAACAGTTGTGTCTCCTATAGGCCTTACAGATTGGGAGGCCATGAAGAAATCACACATTCACAATTATCTGACATAGGTTTATTTATTTACCTAATTATTTAGAGACAAGGTCTCACGTAGCGTGAGCTGGCCTCAAACTTTCTACATATGCAGGGAGGGATGACCTTAAGCTTTCTTTCTTTTTTTTTTTTTTTTTTTGATCATTGTGGCCCCACCTCCCAAGTGCTAGAGATCAAATCTGGGGTTTCACATGTGCTAAGCAAGCACTCTTTCAATGAAGCCACGACCTTGCCCCTGCCAATTTTAAGTCAAAACAGCAGCCCAAACTAAGAGATTCTGCGGGTAAGTCTCTTCTCAACGTTTTCACTTTCAACCATGACAACATTAAGGTCACAAAACCAGTCTTCCACCCTCAAAGTGTGAATGTCCCAAATACTCAGTGGTTGAAGTGTCTCTGGATCCCATGGCGAGAAGTTCCCCAGGCACTTCTGTTACAGAGGCAGGGAGACAAGGACATGTCTGTCTCCTCATATCGGTGGCTGACAGATTTGTCTTCTGGTGGCTTGTGACAGAACCGCAGTCATGCTGAGCTCAACAGAGGCTTCGTCAGAGCTGAGTTGATTTAACGATAAATATATCAAGCAATTTGCCGTGAGGACTATCCACGCACAAAGCGTCCTCTCCGAACCACTTTGAATGCTGTCATTAGAAAATAAATACACCACATTTGGGGGTTTTCAAGTCAAAGCACTTCTGTCAGACACTTCCTCCGCTGTCGTCAACTGAATGCAGACGTTCGTCTATTTCCGTAATTGAAACATCAGCGATTTCTGTCCAAGCTAAAATAAGCCACTAAAATAAGGATAAGAGCAGATATCAAAATACCACGTTACAGAGATCCGTGTTTTATTTATTACTGCCTGGAGCTATGATACTGCCTATTCCCACGGGATTCTTTCTCCTGCCTGACGGTGCCACACACTAGACAGTTTGTCAGCAGAAGAAGGTGTCATTTAGAGGTCTGTTGCAGGTAAAATATTTCCTATAACTACTAAAGCTCGCTACATATGCCTAGTTCAGGGATGGGAGGTATGTAAAGGACCCTAACTTGGAACACTTGCCAATTCCACCCTCCAAAAAATTTAGGGGCAGCCAACTTTGCTTCAGGCTCCTGCTTACTTCCAGAAGTAAATTAAGGAATGGAATTGGAAGCTGCGGGTGGTATGCATTAATTATCTTGTTGGGCTGTTGGTAATGTCTAAAGTGCTTTGTATCCTAAAAAACACCCCATAAATCAGTCGCTGTAAGTACCTTTATCATCGGGAGAGGCGAGGCCGGTAATGATAAAGTGAATTAAGTTGGGTTTTATTTTACTTCTCACACAAAGGAAAGCATGCCAGGTTAGTAAATGCTGTATTACAGAACCATGCAATAAAGACTCATTGGAGAGACAAGGTTACCATAGTCCACAGGATACTGCATTAGACGATTTGTCAAGGTCTTCTCCCTCCGCTTGTGATTCAGCTGCTGTTAAATTATACAGATCCCAATCTCAGTGGATGGGGTTGTGTCAGTCACCATACATTTTACTTACTTCCGAGGATATCAACATGACATCTGATGAGGCCATGTCCTTTATTAATCATGAAATAAATGCTTCCCATGGGTTTCCTCACTTCATCTTTAAAATGATCTTATAGTTCCTGTATCATTATTGTTCTTGCTTTAAGAACTGAAATCACTGAAGGTTAGAGCCATAAAGTCACTCCCAAAGAGAATCAATCCTGCATCTATGGACTCCCAGACCCCAGGCCTTTGCTGTGAGCATGCACAGTTGGTTCCCTGTACTGTGTATTCCTCAGCCAGGACTCATACACCTGCAAAATGATTTGGTTAATATTCATGTGTATTAGTCATGTGGAGAATTTTTCTTTTTAGTCACATGACATCAACTGTTTTTACATGACATTTATATTGAATTGAGGAAGAGAGGTGATGAAGAAATTATTTCAAGTATGGATAAGGATTCGTATGTTCTGCTTTGTGGGATACCTGGGCTTCTGCCAATTTGAATATCCACAGTGTGGTGGTGCGAATGTTCAGGACCCAGTGGCCATTGGTAGGTGACCCTTCTGTTCCTTCTGTGTGTGTTTGAAATCACCCTGCACAGCACAGAACACACAGTGCCTTCTTGCATCCTCTTTTCCTCCTCTGTTCCTATCTCCCCATGGCCCCTCTTTTTCTGCCTTGACCTTTGCTAAACTGTTCCCTTCATTTTCTTTCCTAAAGGCAAATATGCCATGCGAGACCTGGTCCACAGGCTTCCTGGAGGGAACAACAGCAACAATGCAGGGAGTAAGGCCATGTCAGATGACACCGTGACGGCTGTGTGCTGCACCCTGCATGAAGTGATCACCAAGAACATGGAGAATGCCAAGGCCTTACGGGATGCTGGTGGCATCGAGAAGTTGGTCGGCATCTCCAAAAGCAAAGGAGATAAGTAAGTCAGGCATGGCATTGTCTTTGCACTGAAGTAAGTAGTCAAGGCTGGCGTTGTCTTTGCATTCCTAAAGGAGACTTCGCATCCCAGCCTGCAATCTGAGTTCCTTCAGAGGGCAGCCAGCCAGCTTAGCCTGGAAACATGACATCATCTCCCTGCTGTTATAGCTCATCTGTGGTCGCCAGTGCCTGTCTCAATGGACCAGTATCCTTTGGTTCTGTGTTCTGAGTCATCACAGAAGCGTTTTCTCTCTGTGCCCTTCCTATGGAGTCAGAGAGAACTAAATTCTACTCTAGTGTCCCCCTTTTGCTTGCTGTAAGATTCTAGGTAGGTAATTTAATTTAACAAGTTACTAAGCCCTTGTTTCTAATCTAAAACCTAAGGCAGACCCGTCTTGATACCCTTCCTGGAATCAGGGATCATCAAATCTGAAAAGACAAGTAGAAATTCCCCAGGCAGAGAGGAGAGTGTAAAGTAGGGCTTTCAGTTAAATGGAACAAAAGGAAGCAAGACTTGGTCTCCAAGCCATTGGCATCTTCTTCGTAAGTGTGAATGTTCCCTGTGATTTAACAATCAAGGTTATCTTACTGTATGCAACTAAAACACAATTCATCAGCCAGGATGTTAGTATATCAGCCAGTATATCAACCTTTACAGAAACCTTCACTACCCTTAATTAAATTTTGTCTTCTGCAAGTCCCTTGGTGTAATCAAAGAAGATTAAATGGGTAAACTTTTTATTATCAAGGGCCTGCCGACTTCCTGCCTGTTCATTCCCTGCCTCCCATCCCTTTACATCTAAATGCTAAATAATTAATTTTTCTTTTGTTATTGAAGATGGTGAGGAATGCTCTTCGTGACTCTCTGGAAACTCTGTCTCATTATTCCATTTAACTCAGGTTATTGGCAATGTGTTCTAAAGGTTTCCAGGGAGGCTTTTAAATACCCTGAGATCCTTAAATAGGTTTATTCAGCAATCCAGCATCAGATTTGAATGCGTTCTTGTGTTGAGGAGTGAAGCCCACTGGACTCAGGCAATTGTGCAATATAGACTCAGGGCTTGAATTATATTCAACTTATGATGTTCTGTCTGAAAATAAAACACCATCGTTCACAGTCAGGAAGCTATGTAGTTTTCTTCTTCATATAATTGCTTGCTTGCCTTGAGCATTGTGAGCCCAACATATTGTTGTTACTTTTTTTTTAAAGCACATATACTTAAAGACACAATAATATCACAGTTGACAGGAACACTCTATTTGCCTGCATTTATGAGACATCCCAAAGTTAAAAATACATTCTCTGGATTTAAGGACAAGAAAGCTGGGGGTGGGTAGCTGGACATCTGTCAAGTCCCTTTGGTTGTCTTGAGTTTCTCTACAGCAATAAGTGATGCTCAGTGGGCCTTTGAAAAGGCGCTGTGATCAGTCTTATGGCCAAAGAAAACTGTTTGGTGAAACTATTTTTAGAACTCTTTTTGGAGAAATCACCTGTGAAATAATGCAGCTCCTCATTGGTGACCCAGTAAATTGCCCTGTAAGATGTGGTACAGACTTGATTGTTGTAAATGGGCAGGTGTTTTTACATCTGTAGGTGATCTCAAGAGTGTCCTTTAATTTGACTAAATATTTCTTCATAGACAGTCACTCATTTCATCTAAATGTTCCTTTATCTCATTTTCCTTTGTCAACATCCGGGAGTTATAAGTTTAATAACAAGTATTAAATTGAACTGAATCAGGTCTCTTACAATTGTAGTTCTCACACTTAATCAGCCCTTCCATTTTTCCATGTGGTTTGCCTTTTTTGAATATGAATATACTGACTAATTGGATGATCAAAGGAAGGTTTTTGTAACTTCTCATTTCCTACCTATACTTTAGTTTATAATTGCTTTTCACTGCTTTTGAAACAAAAAGAGTCCAGGAGAATTGCTCTGACTCATCGAGAAACTGATATTTGTTGTTCAGTCCTGTGATGACGGCAAGCATTAAGATTCCCTTTAACCTCTTGATGTGTTTTAATAAAACAGAAAACCTTTTCAGGAGTGGAACCTTTGAACTTAGGAGCCAATAGCATAGTAGAAACATCAGTTCATTCCAGCTAACCTATAAACCTGCCACAAGTGTATCTGCACTAGATTGCTCTTAAAAACTTTCTTTTAGAACCAAGTTCAGTTCAAATCTGACTTGTTTGAAACAGCATGGGAACAAACATGAAGCAAACAAACAAACAAAAACATAGAAGAAAACATAAATATGCATAGCCATGGTCCTCACATTTTAAATATTTGTACATTTTGCTTCTAAGTATGAGCAAACCTAAGCATGTAGTGGCGTGAACACATTAGACCTGTAAGGCACCACTGTGTACTGGAACCACACGCCTATGGTATTGGGAAGATATTCAAGGTGACTGGTGCTCTGGGATGCTACTCTGATATGACTGAGTTGTACAGCCATGAGGAATTGCACCATCAGACATCTTCAGTTTCCTCTGGTTTAACAGCTCCTATGAAGATCAAAGCCCTATGTAATTGTCACCAACACTTGTAGGAGCCAAATGCGTACTGTTTTTGAAGTCTGATGACTTACTATTTTCCTATCATTTTTAAACACACATTGCAGACATTCCATCATGTCCATCTGTTTCAAATATCCACTTTCATGATTTCAACAGATATATGGGAAACTGTGTTGAATGTGTCATTGTATTTATCATAAGGCAGAGAAGCTATTAACAGTCTGAACTTTCTACTTGTCCGTAGAGAGCTGTGTGCTACGGCTCGGCTCAGGTTATAATCACTTAGGAACATTCAATTGCTCTAGCCCTTCAGTTGACAGTTACAGCTATTCAGGTAGGTATGTTTATGACACTGGTTTAGTGGAGGGATCAAAAAAATGTAAAGACAAAGAAGAGGGCAGTGTCTTTTTGACCTTCATGTTATTATTACACCATGCTGTGCTGGCATTTTAATTGGGAGGCCAACCTGCTCTCCCTACATAGCCACAGTCTCTATTTTGTAACTAAGCAAGAAGTTGAAACAAACCACAAAAAAATTACACTATGTCAGAATAATTTTTCATGCTAAATGTGTCAGCCACACTGCCACTACCTGAATTCTAATAATGTTCCTCCAGGGTTGCCTGGGCATTGCCAGAGACAAATATCCAAGTAGCAGGGGCAAAACACAACAAGAGCATTTAGTCTTTGTTTAACCTTGATTATACAAGGCCAATGGAGGCTCTAATCTGTATCCTTGAAAGGATTTAAATTTCTCTAAGTTTCGGGAATTTAAAACTATAGCTGGATCATTATACTATCATAAATTATAGAATAATTAAACATCCATTCATTTTAGTGAAATAAAATAAATGTTACCTTCTTGTAGCTAATGTATTATGGAGAAAAATGGAATTCGTAGGACCTCATTTTCTGTTGTAATACAGCTGAAGTTGGATTGTTTCTCAGAAACGGGTAACTGTCAGTAAACAGATGAAGGAGCTTTAACCTTCACTCGCATAAATTACAAATATGCAGCCCCAGAAAACAGCAGCCATGCTATCCACATGTCCTGACACTCCGTGATTTCATTATAGAATGCCTGTCATAAATGTTCGGATTTTTTTCAGCTCTCAAATTCAAGCTCACCCCAGCCCATCTACCATCTGCTTCCTTTGCATTTCAAAGGCTTTTTAATTTCAAATATATATTTTTATTTAATGTTGTGAGAATTTCATACATGAATTCAGTACAATTCCACCTCATTCTCCCCCTTCCAAACTCCACACCCACTCAACCCCCTCTCTCAAATTCATGATCTCTTAAGACTCCTATGATTGTTATTGGTGTGTGTGTATGGGTGTGTGGCGGTGTGTGCTGGGGTGAG